CTGATTCTCTGAGGCTTTTCATGGCCAGGTTCAGTGACTCGCTTGCAGGTTTACCTTCTGCAAGGTGTTGATAAAAGCATTTCATGAACTGGAGAGTAGCCTCGTCATCAATCGCCCACAGGGACACCACAACAGACCGAGCTCCAGCCCCCATAAAAGCACGGGCGATGCCAACCACACCTTCAGCCTTGATCTCGCCCCGACCACTGTGGCAGCAACTAAGCACAACAAGTTTGGTACGAAGTTGAATATTCAACACATCTCCAATTGTTAAAATGTAATCATTCTCCGTTGGCACAGAAGATATTCGATGTGGGTCAGGTGTAAGAGCAATTTCGCCAGTTTCCATACATCCGTGTGCCGCAAAGTGAACTAAGGAAACAGAACTGAGTCTTTTCAACACCTCACGCTTCGTGGCCTGTCTGCCAGTGATTGGCTCGATATTCAGAATTTTCCCGATCATTTCTACCTCTTCTTTAGCATACGGAAGCTGCTCGAGGAGTTTTTCTCCCTTGCTGTCGGTAACCTCGGCTACCCACGGATTTCCTACAAGTAACGCACCACTGCTTTTGTGATAATCATCTGGGCAATCGGCAATGAGTCTAAGACTTGTTAACGATGGAGCGAGTCGGATTCTGAACGATTCACACATGTATTTAGAATTACCATCCTTCAATGCAGCATAAGGAGTGAGCCACAGGGGTCCATCGGGAATAATGACTAGCTCATCCCCTTGAACCAAGTCAGCCACCGGCTTCATAACGATATCATACAAAGTGCTCAAGCATTCGTTTTGTTGGATGTGAGGTTGAGGGTTGACTTCTTTAGTTTTCTCATCCACTTTTGAATGGCTCTCCCTCAAAACATCCAAAGATCGATTCTCGCATCTCACATCAGAACGAACACCAAGTTGCGTGTAGATACTGAGCATGAACGACTCAAAGGACTGGCTCGCTCCACTATTCTCTGAAACAAACCTATTGAGTTTACTTTGTCTCAACTGAACTGGTTTTCCTTCGGACACAACCCAAAGATTGACGTCAGCTTTGTCCACTGCCTGAAACACAGTGTCTGATGGAACGTTCTTTAAAAATACCAAATCTTCATCGCCTCTCTTGTCCTGATTTGTTCCACCACAAAAACTAGATTCCATAAGGTCGGTCAGAGCTTGAGCTCGTCCTTTCTCAGCAACAAATAAGGCTTCATCCATATTACCTTGTTTTACGAGAACTCTCCATAAACCCGCATACGCCATTTGATACTGATTTCGAAAATTAACTTTCCACTCATCTTTAGATTTTAGGAGTACTCTTAAGGAATTATATAAGTTTATGCTAGCTTGGTAATGTTCAACGGCTTTTGGCAGTCCACCCTGCAACTCAAAAACGCACCCTAATAAACCGTAAGCCATTGCCTCCAAGGATTTGTCTTCGACCTCTTTAGCAATTTTAAGCATTAGGTTGTATAACTTGTTAGCCTTTATCAAATCTCCTACAGTTTGATACACATTACCAATACTACCATAGGCTTTACCCTCCCCATGTTTGTCTCCAACTTCTTTAGCTATTTTAAGACCTAGGTTGTGGTACTCTATGGCTTTTTTTAAATCACCCAGACGGTGATAAGCATTGCCAAGATTGCTATGAGCACCACCCACTCCATGCTTGTCTCCTACTTCCTTAGCTATTTTAAGATGTAGGTTGTGGTACTTTATGGCTTTCTTTAAATCACCCAGACTGCTATAAGCACTGCCAAGATTGCCATAAGTAGTACCCTCCCCATGCTTGTCTCCTACTTCTTTAGCTATTCTGAGATCTATGTTATGGTACTCTATGGCTTTTTTGAAATCACCTAGCCTGTAATAAGCATTGCCAAGATTGCCATAAGCGTTACCCTCCCCATGCTTGTCTCTTACTTCTTTAGCTATTTTAAGATGTAGGTTGTGGTACTCTATGGTTTTTTTGAAATCACCCAGACGTTCATAAGCAATGCCAAGATTGCCATAAGCTTTACCCTCCCCATGCTTGTGTCCTACTTCTTTAGCTATTTTAAGATGTAGACAGAAGTACTCTATGGCTTTTTTGAGATCACCCAAACTGTGGTAAGCATTGCCAAGATTGCCATAAGCACCACCCTCCCCATGCTTGTCTCCTACTTCTTTAGCTATTTTAAGATGTTGGTTGTGGTACTCTACGGCTTTTTTAAAATCACTCAGACTGTGATAAGCATTGCCAAGATTGCCACAAGCGCTACCCTCCCCATGCTTGTCTCCTACTTCTTTAGCTATTTTAAGATGTAGGTTGTGGTACTCTATGGCTTTTTTTAAATCACCCAGACGGCGATAAGCAATGCCAAGATTGCCATAAGCACTACCCTCCCCATGCTTGTCTCCTACTTCTTCAGTTATTTTAAGATGTAGGTTGTGGTACTCTATGGCTTTTTTGAAATCACCCAAACTGTGGTAAGCATTGCCAAGATTGCCATAAGCACCACCCTCCCCATGCTTGTCTCCTACTTCTATAGTTATTTTAAGATCTAGGTTGTGGTACTTTATGGCTTTTTTCAAATCACCCAGACTGTGATAAGCATTGCCAAGATTGGCACAAGCGCTACTCTCCCCATGTTTGTCTCCTACTTCTTTAGCTATTTTAAGATGTAGGTTGTGGTACTCTATGGCTTTTTTGCAATCGCCCAGACGGCGATAAGTATTGCCTAGATTGCCACAAGCGCTACCCTCCCCATGCTTGTGTCCTACTTCTTTAGCTATTTTAAGATGTAGGTTGTGGTACTCTATGGCTTTTTTTAAATCACCCAGACTCCGATAAACAATGCCAAGATTGCCATAAGTTTTACCCTCCCAATGCTTGTCTCCTACTTCTTTAGCTATTTCAAGATGTAGGTTGTGGTACTCTATGGCTTTTTTTAAATCACCCAGACTGCGATAAACAATGCCAAGATTGCCATAAGTTTTACCCTCCCTATGCTTGTCTCCTACTTCTTTAGCTATTTTAAGATGTAGGTTGTAGTACTCTATGGCTTTTTTCAAATCACCCAGACTGTGATAAGCATTGCCGAGATTGCCATAAGCATTACGCTCCCCATGCTTGTCTCCTACTTCTTTAGCTGTTTTAAGACATAGATTGAGGTACTCTATGGCTTCTTCTCCCCGATTGTAGAAGTCTATGACTTTCTTGACATCACCTGAACTTGCACCACCATGGTCATGACTAACAGGATCTTTCTCCATGGACTTATCTCCTACTTCTCTGACTGACTGAAGTCTCAATGACGACAAGATCCTATTGTTTTTGTCAATCTTTTTTATGTTGAGGGTTAAAAATGTGGAAAAAACAAAAAATTATTATTTTTCTGATCATATTGGTATGTAATAGTCCATAGAGTTGTGTGCTTGGTTGCCAAGCCTCGGAACAAGAATGATGGCTAAGGGTGACCTTGTTATGATAAAAATATTGCTGCTTTTCAAATGCAAATTACTTTGTTATTATCGTCACTAGATACTGGTCTCTATCACAACAAGGTCACCTTCAGTCTCACTCCTAATCAAGGGCTTGGAAACTACTTACACAACTATAAAATGGTGTATTAGGTGGGCTTGCGTCAAAGGTAGATGTTTTATTAGCATTCAGTCTTAAAGTCAGTTACGGAGTAAATCTACATTTTTTTTCTGTGTGCAGCCTCAAAATCCAACGCGAAATATTTAGATTTAATCCCTTGTTTCCAAAAACTGGGAAGCACCAGCTCAATTTTTAAATCAATATAGCCTTAACATCAGACGAATATTTTACAGTAGTGGAAGAAACGAGTCTACAACACAAATACGTGCCTTTATAAGTTGATTTGTCCATAGGAAAACATGACGAAAGCTTCCGAGTCTCTTAGCAGTGGAAATAGGTCGAAGGCAAGAAAATCTGCATAATATATGTAAACATTACCGAGCTTTTTGTTCGGACTCGTTATAGAGAGATCATCTACCCACGTACCATTTATAAACTGGGTGAATATTAGTCTTTTAACCCTTCAACTCCCATGAGTGACCAAGAAATAATTTCTCCTTATGATAGCAATACAATATCAATCAGATAAGTGTTGTTGAGGATAATTAGTTGATCCAATACTGAATTCTCTGAACTAACGTTACAAGATCTGTATGGTTGACAGAAAGGATAATTACAAATTTGATCTGGGAATTAAAGGGTTAACTAAACTAATCTACCAGTTATGGCTTGGAGAGTATTATAAACTAAGTCAAATTGGCTAAAAGGAACAATGTCATCAATAAGTCATGAAATAATAACTTTCCCCACGTTTCTTAATCACACACACTTAAAGTATGAGCTGACAAGTTCCCATCATAAATAATACCCTTATTTGTATTTTCTCCCTTAAAACGTCAAATTATGGAAATTATTTCCATTATACCCATAGTTAAAAATGAAAGAAATTTCCTTCAAAGGATACAGCTAATCCCTTATCACACCAAGTGATTGCTTCTTCAAATCTCCTCAGTTCAACACAGGCAGTGGCTCCTGTAGGCAACAACACATAGAAGCATATTATCACTGTAGCTCAATTCTAAGAAAAGAACCTGAAACCACTGAAAGTTAAATCTTTACAGACCAGAAGAAAAACAAAAAAGAATAAAATAAAAAAACTAAATGGAAAAGAAAACCAGGCCCTATTAGGTTTCAGTTAGATTTATTTAGCTTTGGACAACTGAAACTTCTAAGAACATTTAAATTGGGACCGACAATTCCCAAAAAATCACTAAGACATAATTATAAATAGAATATAAGACATGCAATTTAAATACGGAAAAATGAGACCCATTTTTTAAAGTTTTATAATGGTACATCTTTTAGTGGATCTTTGAAGAACTACATTAATGATATTAATACTAGTTTCCCTTTAGTTTGAGTTAACATATATGATTTACTCAATCAGTTGATAATTGATTTCTTAATAGGGAAACGACTCAAACTAGGGTTTGAAGTTCACCAAGAATAAGATTTACTCATGCTGTCTATTTAGTTACGTTGTTATTACTTGTATTATTAATAGCACTTGAAGTTGAGTTATACTCAACGAATGAGGACAGTTTTCTTACAGTTTTGAGTTAAGAAATACTTCTTACTTCTTTTTAAAACAGTTACATAATGACTAAACATATCTGACACTTAACTACCTCACTCGTTGAGCTTAAGGAACTAAAATATTCATGCTGAAATTTTGCTTTGCATTCCGCATTGAGTTCTTCATCCAGCTCAAAATAATATTCTTATCATAATTAATGGAAAGTAATGGCACAGCAGTCAAGAGCTGAATTCAAATGTACATCAGGGTGGTCTCGACCTCTCAATTAAAGTCAATTGAGACAAGATTTAACTTCATTTAACCTTAGAATGTGGAGTTCTTTATTATTTTCATTTAAGTATTGCACGGCTAACACATCTAACCTCTCACAATTGCCTTAAGGAAAGTTGGATTTAACTCAATGGCTGCTTCTGCATCCCTTAGTGAATCTTGATGATTTCCTGTTATTAAAAATAAATATCTCTGATTAGCCATACATGTAGCAAGCCCACTACCACTCCATTGCAATAATTTTGGGAAAAACTTGTGATCCTCATTGATATCTGGGGTACGAGGTTACTTCTTTGTATACTTGAGAGGCCAAAAGTCTGATGAGATGTATATTTTTCCGGGCATGCATTCAAAATTATCATCTTTTTCAGAAAACTACTACAGACAGCACAATAGCTTCAAAAGAGCAAAAAAATGCATTTTAAAGCTCTCATCATCTTACCAAGTTTAGAATGTGCAATAGCCCTGTTGTTGTACAGTTTAGCCTTCAGTACTTTCTCATTGCAGTTCAATTTAATTCCTTCAGTGTAAAAATAAATAGCATTGATGAAATCTCCTTTCTTGAAGGCCTCATTACCCTCATTCCTACAAACATCAGCTGTGGCTGCAAAGAAAAAATAAAACATAATTTGTGTCAAAGTCTGTGGTTGTAGTTAATAACTATAAGTGTATAAGCAGAGCTGCCAAGATATGGAGATTTAAAATCTGCACATTTTTCCTTTTGCACCTGCTTGACTTGACCCATCCCCTGAAAAGCTTAGACGATGTAGGCAGTCCCCCCCTCCCCCTTCACGGGACAGAGCCCACTCAGTAAGTTCATGAGAGATTTGTTGGTTGAAAGCTCAACCAAGCAGACTCAGTTGCTGTTGTGGTTGTTGTTTAGAAGAAAGTGTAATTCCTATTTTGAAACAATCTAAGTGCGATCAAGAAAATTAAGATAAGAACCCTGAAGATTAACCAAAGGCCGGATAACAGATGTGGGAAATCTGGAGTTCAAATGTGATGTTTCTGGATAGAACTGACCTTCTCTGACTGAACTGAGTCTCATTCTGTGTCTGTGAGACCCCCTGATAATCAGAGAGAGTCACTATAACTATAAGATAGAGTAGAAGAGTCTATTGCTTTTAATACATTTAGATAGCTGGTTAATGGGTCAATAAGATCCAAATGTTGCAATCATAAAAACCAGAAGCAATATTACTAATAGACAAACAGTTATTATATAAATGATGAGAATAATGACAAAGAAAATGAGATTAATAGTTATGATGATGCTGATAAGGTGGGTGACAACAGTGGCAATATATATATAACAATGATGAAAATTAAGTATCACTCAATTTGAAGCAACCCTTGGGCATTTAAACTTTTGGAGATAGGTTTCCTAAAATTCTTATTCCCTTGGGAAAATTAATAATGTGTTCAAATTCCCCACACAATTTTCATTTAAAAAGCAAAACAATTAGCAATTTGACTTTCAACTAATTGACTAGGCTTTAAAAGTGAAAGTGCACCATCTACCTTAAACACCTCCATGTTCAATTTTTCATTCTACTGGAGATTAGTTGTGACACTTTTTGTTCGAATTCCCTAACTGACACTTTTTGTTCGAATTCCCTGACTGACGTCAGGCAAGGTTCAAATCCCCCCTCTCCCCCCTCCTCCCTGCCTTTGGATTGGATAATGATCAAAAGCCTGTGGGTTGCTTGAAGAGAAGGGAGGGGATGTTGAAGCTTTCAAAGTGATTGTTGCATCATAATGGAAAGATGATGACAATGATGATATACTCATGCAAAATTACGCAATGGATGTTATATTATCGATGATCAAATATGGTCTTTACTTATTATAACTTTGTGTACTTGCTTTGAACTTTGAGAAAGAAAATAACAAAGGTTTCTGTGTCATAGATCCTGTCAATGAACAGCTTATTGTAATCAGAGAAGAGAGTCATAACTGGCCAAATCTCCTTTAAAGTGGTCGTACAGTGTATTTATCCTTCTCCACAGCTGCTTACATTCTTGAAACTGATGGAATAGAACTTATTCTAACAATAACTGAAGCTGAAGTTAACACAGCTCACCTCGTAAAGTGTCCTCGTCAAAATCTGGTGCATTTTCTTTGTCAGGTAAGTCTTCATTTTCACATGGAACTTTAATTGAACTTCTTTCTGTAGCCATAGCAACTGTAAGAAGATGCTTCTTACAAAGTTGCTGTTTTAAGTTATCCTGGCGTGAAAAAAAAGATGGTTGAAAATTGTAATACACATCAGCACAACATATTACCTAATTGCAAAATAAATTTTTTTCCCTTCTGGGAATGGGAGGGATACATAGACTTAAAATTACAAGTCAATTAATATTAATAGCATACATGTACAAACAATTAAAGCAGCAAAAGAACAAAAGATGCTTAAGCAGAAGAACTTCTCATTATAATAAATTTTAAGATTTATGAAATACATCCTCAATTGATTGAGATAAACTGGGTGAACATCAACAGCTGTCTGTTGCAAGTTCATACAATTTGTAAACACCAGCAATTTAGATTATTTCAACTAAGAGGTAGTGGGTAGTTACGTAAAGTCTGTATGTGACCAGTGGCCCGTCCAGGGCGTGAGCTTCAATTAATAATGGTAATAGGACCGAGTGGAGTCCAATTTAGTCTGCAATCATACGAGTATTTCCAGTGACAAAATCGGACGACAGCGAAGCAGGAGCCCGATTTGTCAATCACTCGTATGATTACAGACAGAATTGGACGACACGAATTCCTGTTACCAATTAATCATAACCATTACAAGTTCCGAAAAAAAAGACATTTAGGACAAAAATCTTCTTCAAATTTGAAAATTTCCCAGTTTTTTTCAGGGTAAGTGGTCGTTGCTAATTTGGTTATGTGATCAATCGTGTGATTGATGGATTTTGCTGAGTGGACTTAGTATGATTGGCTGCTTCAACTGTCCGATTACTGGTGCCCGATTACAGCCAACCTTCCAATTACAACTGTACAGAATGTTAAGTGATATATTGAAAATTGTTATGGTTATGATTAATCCTGGTTTCCTCAGATGAAGCAACTAGGAGTATTACTACCCACGTACCCCCTGGACAGGATGTCAGTCCATCCCACGCCGGCTACTCCCCAACTCTCCTCCCCCCCCCGGCATTTTATCAGGCTTTCCTGACTAATTTCTGCTACCCATTTATACTCCTGGGTGGAGAGGGGCACTGTGAGAAACAATAAAGTGTTGTACAAGAACAAAACACATAACCTGGTCAGGTTACAAATGCAGACCTCATGACCCTGAGTCCACCTCACTAATCATAAGGCCACCATATCTCCACAAGAGGGGAGAGTTTATGTTGAATCCTTGTAAGAAACAAATTTTAAAAAACCGTAGAAAAAGAAAAATTCTCTTATCTGATTTTTAAATAGGAACTACTGGTCAAAACTTATAAATGATGTATGTCTTTATTCAATTTCCTAAAGTTGAACTGACGCCCATATTCATAATTCAACTGTTAAACTTATCACAGGAAATACAGTGAAATATATATATTTATGCATGCTGATGTATGTTGAAATGAATTTAAATACTGTAAAACTACTAACATTTGTGGTTTACAAGTATATGTGTATTAAACAAATTGTTTTTGCAATCAGTTCATGTTTACATTGTTTTGTGCACAAAATTGATTTGTCTTTGATGCTAACTTTAATTCTCCTAATAATCAAGACTGGTTGTCTTTTAAATATCAAATAATCTTTGCTGGTTGTCTATTTGTACAAAAAATATCAAGAAATGTAGAGCAACAAGGAAATCAGTTGTTTTAGAATTCAGAATAGCCTGAGATACATGTACAGGGTAGATCATTTTTGCGAAAGCCAGTAGTAACTCCTTACTAAGCAGTCGAGCACGAGGCTTTACTGAGGAATATTGGCCCAAGGTTGCGGCAGTATAGAAATGACATAGTGCTAATATTCCCCAGCAAGGTAATGGTCATGCACTAATGTCACTTGCACTAAACTAGTTTATTTTGAATTTTCTGGCTTTTAAGTGAAAACATAGGCATGCGTAGCATGCAAGAGTTTTTTTTTTTTTTGACTGGGCGGGTTGAGATGGGACACTTTGTGTACCTAATGTTTTCATTTCTGTAACAGAAAAAGAGCATAACTATATAAAAGGACGAAAATATTGCATTACTTCACCTTAAGAGAAAGAGAAAAAACCTAATTTATCTGACCTCACACAGGTATCTTGTGGTCTATTGTCTCTATTGCCTAAAATTCTTCCAAGCAAAAATAAAATGGATCAGTGCCACGCTTATTGTTGTCTCCTTCGCAGCAGTTGTTTGGTCTCGTCACACAACACCATCTATTCCCCGACGGAGAGAGAGCGCGTGACGGAGAGAGAGCGCGTAGCGTGATGAGACCAAATAATAGTTGCAAAAGAGACCACGCTTACTGCCGTTCCTCTAACAGAGTGAAAATCAAAATTATTTGTCTACAGTTAGATGTCTAAAACATATAATTCCATGTAATTTTACTACGAAAAGCAAACTGAAACTTTCTTGTATCTCCAATAGACTCAACCAAAGATTTATTGCGATTTCTAATTAGTGAAGATACATTTCGCAAGAGAAAAGGATAATATTTGAGAGAGGGCTCCTTTATTAGTTGTTGCAGGTTGTTTACAAGGAATAGACATGCGATTGGATTAAGTCCAAGGTAGTTAAAAGCCGATTTTATTCGTATACAAAATTGAAAACGCGGGAGAATTACGTGAAAAGTTCATTATCAGTAGCATTTAGTGTGAATTTTTTTTCAGTGGGGTTGGACAATGCGGTTAGAATACGTGATCATGCTGGTTGTTTACAAGGAAATGAAACGTGATGGAGCGAAGTCTAATTTAGCAAAATGGAATTTGATTGGTGAAATAAAATTCAAACACGTGAAAAATTGCCTAATGTTTAAGTAGTGCAATGATTGGGTATGTTCTGATTGGTACGTTTCCATGGTACGTGATGGAATGTAAGTTGTCATACATCAATTACCCGAGAATTCATGAAATATCTCTTCTAAAATTTGTAATCAGTAAACTAGGTCGGGAAAGCAAAAGAAAAAGAAATATACATATCCCAAAAGTCTGCACACCACCTCCCCCACTGTCTCCCTCTATTTGTTTTTCTGATGGTAATCTCGTCTCTAAAAAAAAACGCTTATTCATCAGTAATAATTCACTCTATTTCAGACGACAAGGTAATTTTTCATTGTCGGAAATCTGAGACATCGATCATACTTCACCTCTCCAGGTCTTTAAACATGGCGGAGAAACAATTGTAAATAAGTGTGTGGGATAAAAAATAGATATCAGGATCACTGATCCATAGGTGAGGATGTAAATCTTCCACCGCTCATAAGAGAAAGAAAACATCTTTGTCATAATAAAAATTTTGTTCCGTGGGTTATTTTTAAAAGTTACGTCCGGACAAATTTTGATACAAAATTAAACCTAAAGCAAACTCAAACCGTCTCAAAAAGTCTAAAATTTAGTCAAATATTACTTGAGAAAAGCTCAATTTTGGACATCAAACCTTGAATGAATTTACCTTCCACCACTCTCAACAGTATCACTCGTTAATTTATGTAGGACAAAAAGGAGCAAAGAAGACGATCATTTATTCTAAAATCTATCTGCGAGTTGGATTTCAGCTCATTTCATTTTCCACAGGTGCGTTGATAAATATTCAATTACGCTGTTGAGTTAATTAAACCTACATTTTTCAAAAAGAAGTCAAATAATGCGTTAAAGAATTCGTATGTTGATTTGTCGCCTTAAATTTTTCTCTGACTAAAAATACCTGACAAGTTTTATAAGCAAGGAGCGGTTGAAAACATCTTCCCCTCGAAACTTTGTGACAACTAGGTCCTCTTTCAATTTCCATAATGCGAACAGGATATAACACGTAGCCGGTAATTTACATTCAAAATCGAAAGGACAAAGGCGCTAGATTATCTGGTAACACTCAGTTTTCTCGGTTCCAACTAAATATTCTTATAGAAAAAAAAGAGAAAGCAGGGACACAGCACTTTACAACGATATCATATTCATAACTTGTTTTTGTCTGCGATCATATGGTCTAGTATGGAGAAAGCAGGGATACAGCACTTTAGATCGATAACATTTTCATAACTTGTTTTTGTCTGCGATCATATGGTCTCGTGTGTTGTTGCCGGCTCACTTTGCTGAAAGAGCTATATGAAAACAAGACCCGTCATGCCTCATACCGGATTGTCTTTATTTTACAATGTAATAAGTTTTTCTTATTTAATTCAAATTCGCAATGTTACTGATGGAACATTGCGAGTGGGTGAGAGAAAAATCCGCTTAGTTTTATAAATTATTTCAGAGCTTACCTTAAAACGACGTTTCGTCAGCCACGAAGCGTTGATTTAGTCCTTAAGAACCTGTTCAATTCGTAAAATTTTGCAAGACCGAAGATATTTTGATGAATTCCTCAGAAGATGACTTAACACGAACGGTGTCGAGAGGGTACTCTTTTCATTCCTCTGAAATTAAGCTCGCGATAACTTAGAAGCAACGCTTCGAGCTGGGGATGGTGAGCGTAAAAAAATTTCTCGTTGCCACCAAAGATGTTCACTCGACCGCGACAGGATGCAAATGACTCACTTTTTGTTTCACGACCATACTGATGTTTTAACCATTGCGTGACATTCTCAGGAAAACCAAAAGTTGATGATACATTGTGAACTTTCCCGAGGAAATAAGTCATAAATAGTCAATAATACACGGGCGCGCGTAGATGTGAATTTGATTGGTGGAATACAATTCAAGCACATAAAAGATTGCCCAATATTCGTGAAGTGCAATGATTGGGTATGTTCTAATGGACTTTGGACGTTGTTTTTATGGTACGTGATGGAACGTGAGTTTTTAGGCGTGTTCGTTGTGCGTGAAGGAGCCGTAAACACACGTTTGACTTTAAAATGATACAAAAATGAAATGCAAAACTTTCATGTCCCGATAAGTCTCGACCTTAATCAACGAGGCTCAATCAAATGAGCCCAAGATTTCTGGTTAATGTCATTCTTTGTGCACAGCCCCCTGATCCATGACATCATTTATAAGAACATAGGTATGCGTAGCATGAGCGGGTTGAGATGGGACACTTAGTGTACCTAATGTTTTCATTTTTGTAACAGAAAAAGAGCATGACTTTCGAACGGACGAAGATATCACGTTACTTCACCCTGAGAGAAAGAAAAAAACTTAACTTGTCTGAACTCACACCACAGGCAGCCCAAGCCCCAGCTGTGAGATGATAATCTTGCGAAATAAGATTCATGGTGATTTTTTCCGGATTTTATCGGATTTTCTTTATCTGGCGGTGACATACCTGAGTATTTTTATGAGTTGTGCTGTATTTTGACTTCCCCCACAGGCTCGTCAAATTCAAACAAAGAGTGAAAATACTAAGCAATACTACACACCAATGAATAGTCTACTAGGTTATTTATGATCCAACTGCTTTTTTTTCCACCAACTCTCTCTGCTCATTTCTCATAAGGCGGGAAAAGCAAAGTGGATAGAGAAGCGCAGCGTGTGCAGCCGACCGGTTAAACAGGTTTTTTTACAGCACAAAATAACCAACTGTACACATGTGCTATATACATATACTCAAGTTATTTGAACTCTACCTTGTGCAGTTGGATTATAAACCAAATTATCTTGTCGTACCCCTCACCGACGCAGCACTACAGTTTCCTTAGAAACTAAACCCATTTATTCATACGTTGTTAATTACAATGCCTGCAGCTGGTGCGAGGCCAAAAGCAACCAAAATATAGGAGTAGAAATCTCCCAAAAACTCAGCATACTTCGTATACACATACCTTAACATTACTAAAATACTTCTCGAGTGCTTCACATAACATTATTCTCTCACTTTCATACGATCTGATTAGCTATACTTTATTTTTGTTATTTTTTTTTTTATTATTTTGCATTTTTTCCAGTCTATCGAGTTCATGTTCCATATAAAGCCGTTTTCTTCTTGATTTGTGTTCTTTGTTTGAAAGAAATTTGATCATATGAATTAACGTTTAAGCGTTTGACGAAAATGAAATACCGTATGCATAAATCAATTGATTGAACAGCTCGTTAAAAGGAAATGTGTAGCAGCGAGAGAGGAGAATTAACAATCAGATCTTGGGAGTTAAGGGGTTTAAGTCTTTTGGAGTGATAGAATTATCATTAGCTCTTCGGATTAGATAGAGATACTCTGCTAGATTAAATCGTTTTGTAAAGAATCCTTTGACGGTGGTATATATGCGTCGATAACGAAAATCTGAAAAGGAAATAATTAATATGACATGAGCCGCAAAAAATGTTTAGTGAAGACGTACATCAATCAATAAAAAAGTCTTCCTTGGCGTTCCTTCCTAGTTCCCAGAAAAGAGTATGCGTAGCCTCGATGCTAAAGTTTTAAACTGCCTTCTCCTATGAAGGAGACTGTCAGCGTAGCGCAGTTTAATGAACAATAGCTTTGTAAAATTAGTTTAAAACATTTGCGCTCGTTTTCTACCCACTCGGAATTAGAAATGTGAATTCAAACTTTCTGCGTCCCTAGAGATAGATTGTGAACGCAGTCTCGTCTGGTTACCATGATCGCAAAACCTTGGCGATCTCGTGTTTACCAATTTGTTCACCTTCCCTGCAAAAGGTTTCTTGTTGCTGTTCACCTTCCTCGAGTGTAACATTAACGACACCACTGTCTTTTACCGCACCTACAAGAGTGGGCATCTCCACTTGTCCTGTTTGCAGCTGATTATCAAGGACATTCGTATCAACCATACCAGTTACTTCCGCCTGCAGGCCACTGAGGGGGAGGAGCGGGGCCAGGAAGCAGGAGAGGGACCACTGTGGATTTTGTTGCCATTCCTTGAAGTATCCGTACAAGTGCAGGACATACTGAACTAAAAATTACGATGTATGGAAATGATTTTGAATTCAGAAATTTTTTTTTTGCTTTTCAACTAAATATTTTCAACCTAGCAACAATAGAAGAATATCTTCCATTAAAGTAATGACATAAGCACAAATAGATGACTTTTGCCGCTGTTCTCACACTTATTTTTTGCCTTCTTTAATCGCTCTCCACAAATTCGGCAAATTTTTCCAATATTTGTTGATGTTCAGAGAGAACCGAGTTCTAAACTAAACTTGGACCAAGCAAAGCAATTCTAAATTGACTCAAGATATGTTCCGAAGTTCCTTTTTCCGATCTTTTATTTCTTCAGAAGGGTACACTCTTAAGGTTTGTACCTTCTTTCAGGAAGGGGTGCGGGAATATTTGTATTTTTGTGTTATTGCGTGTGGTTCGTTCCGTTTAAAGGAGGAGGGAATATTCACAATAAACCATGTTGATCATGGCCAAGAACAACGATTTAACTACCAGATCAAAGCACAAATAGTAACATGTAATTGGAGGGTTTATTATCCCTGGTCGGGACTGAAATGTTGACCGAAAGAAACGTCTCGTCCCTGCTTTCACTATTTCCTGTAGCTTCCCGTGACAGATCGATGACGTACACTTTTCGAGAAGGAAATCTCACGCACTTAGTGCAACTTTCATGCACGTAACAGAAGGCCGTGGACATTTTAGCAGTTTGTCATACATCGTGTATTCTTTGTTTAGCCCATAGGTAAGCATGATTGTATGAAGAGGATAAATTCGCGTAGTTCAGGGGCATTAGTTCGAGGTCAAAGAGGAGATAGACGCCATATTTACTATTTCGGTGATGAAGTGTAATCGCAGATTACACCGCTCAAAACAATTCGGATTAAAACGTCAAGGTACAGAAACTAGCGGCAAAGGAGAGACGTAAAGCCAGAGTCGTTCCTTTATTAAAAGAAAAATTCGAATCAGTCAGAATCTTGCCTGAAAATGAGAAGACCTGAAAAAGGCGATCAGTCATCTCGCGTCAAAACAAAATGCCATTAAGCCGTCGTATAGTTAACTATTCCGCAAATGCAATCTTCTCTAGGAGAACATTAACCAGGGAAGCAAAACACAATGTATGCGCATAAATTAGCTATTTCCCCAGGCTTTGCGCATATACTTTTTGCGACCAAGTTATCAGTGGGCTCTTTCTTGTTGAGCCGTTAAGCGTACATTTTCAGCGGTTTCAAATTGAAAATGCCAATCTGACATGCGCGAACTAAATTTCCACTGGCGGGCGTTTTGAAACAGCCGTGCTTTCTTTAAACGACGGAGAGGTTTTCATCGAACATTTAATGAGCCTGGGAGAAAGACGTAAAACATGTCCCGTGAGGCCGGAACATTTCGATGTATGTGTTCTATTATGCCGGTCAAGGCTACTTACGGTTACTTCTTGTTGTATAGCGCTGTATAGTAATGTAAACTACAGAAGAGGGAAGTATAGTGCTATCTAGGGGTACATAATGTTGTAAAGCGCTGTATAATCGTGTAGGCTGCAATAGCGGGAAGCATAGTGCTATCTAGAGGTACACATTGTTGTATATTATCCACCAAATATTTTTGTTTGCACACGATTGGTCTAAACGTAGCAAGTGACTGAATATCTCCCAGTTAAAACAAGGTGATACCCGAGAATATCACCCAAGGTTTGCAAGCCTTACGTCCGCTACGAAAAGTCTTCGTTTCAAAATTTAAACTTTATTCAATTCAATGGCTGTTCATAAACATTTTTGCACAAGCGTTGCAAAATAATTGAAGGATAATAAACAAAATAGCCTCTATTTTGCTTGAAAATATGTGCAAATATTTTTCCTTGGACATTCGCAGTTTCCGCATCTTGGAACAGGTAATGTCCGCGAACAAAAATCAGCACTTATTTTCGCGCCAAATTAGGGCAATAGTTTATATAGCGCTGCATGGTCATGTGAAATTCAGGAAAGGGAAACATTGTGCTAATCTAGGGGTACATATTGTTGTGAAGCGCTTTATGGTTACGCAAACTGCAGTTTACGGATGTTCAATGTATTGAGGAATGTTTAGTATGGTATGGTGCTGTATGTAGATTTAAATTGCAGTTTACGGATTAATAGTACTACTCAGGGGTATAATGTTGTTTTGTGCTGTCTAATGATAGCCGCAGAGGGATGTATAGTGCTACTGAAGGGAGGAGGGAGAGGGGCATATAGGCGTATTCGAGGAGTTTATTAAATGATGTAAACAGACATGGAGTCGACTAATGGACGGAACATGTTTGCTCATGATAAATCTCTCAAGTTGTTATCGACTACTCCTTTGGAAGTATTGTAGTAACTTATCCTTTCTTAATTATTGTATGTTAAATGTCTTATCTGCGTCTACATCCAAGAAGGCGGCCACCGACTCTGTGGAGTCTGTGAATTTATCTGCCGCCATCTTGGATTCGCGATGTAGGTGTATCTTGGGCCAGAGTTTGACCCATTCTCAATCAGATGATAGAAGCTGTAATTTGGACATTGAAAGACTCGTTTCCCACAAAATGCACCGATTGTGTCGCCGAGACTTGGAGGGGAGCTCTTTCGCTTCATTACTGCTACTGTGATGAGAGGGCTGAGGAGAGAAAATACTGGCACGTGAGATTTAAAAGTGAGAGGCCCTGTGGACTGGGAATCAGTCGAAGGAAATCTGAGATTTTTTACTAGAGATGACATTAAGGGGACACCATCCTAAAGTGAACAAAATAAGCATGATAACAACTACTGTGGGCGAGTAAGCAGGTATATATGTTGTAAGAAGCCTGACGTTGGGCGAGGATTGAGACGAATGAAAACGGAAACAGACAAGGAGTTCAAGACATATTTCCGACCTTTAAGAGTTTGAAAGCCATAATCAACTTTCGATCTCTGTATCTTCACGTCAGACAAGTCATGACTGCGCTGGAAAATGCTGTGTTTTCTCGACGCAAAGGTTTTCATCGAGTATTTAATGAATCTTGGAGAAAGACATAAAGCATGGCCCGTGAGGCTGGAACATTTAAATGTATGTATTCTATTATGCCAATCAATGTTACCTAGCGGCACATATTGTTGTATAGCGCTGTATTGTGATGTAAAATGCTGTAGCGGGAAGTATAGTGTTATCTAGGGGACATATTGTTGCTTAGGATGCATCAAATATTTTTGCTCGCGCGCGATTGGTCTAAACGCAGCAACTGACTGAATATTCCCCAGCTAAAACTGGGGGATATTCAGTGACGATATTACCCAATTTGCAAACCTTACGTCCACCACGATAGGTATTCGTTTGAAACTCAATTAAATTTAGTAAGCTGTTCATAAAGATTTTTTCACGAAAGTTGCAAATTATTTGAGGGATAATAAACGCAATAGCCTCTATTTTGTGCGAAACTATGTGCGGATATTTGTCCTTGACATTATCTGCTCCTCGAAGCTCACAGTTTTCGCATCTTGGAACAAAAAATTTCCGCAGACAAATATCCGCAGCAAATTCGCGCCAAATTGGGGCAATAGTTAATATAGCGATGTATGGTGTTGTAAAATTCAGTAAAGGGAAACATTGTGCTAGTCTAGGGGTACATATTGTTGTGAAGCGCTGTATAGTTACAAAAAGTGCAGTATACGGATGTACAATGTATCAAAGAAAGTTTAGTGTGGTATGGTGCTGTATATAGATTTAAACTGCATTTTACGGATTTACAGTGCTACTACAGGGGTATAATGTTGTATTGTGCTGTATAATGATAAAAGTTGCAGTAGAGGGATGCCTAGTGCTATTGAAGGGAGGGGGGAGAGGGGCATATAGGCGTGCGTATTCGACTGAGCAGTTTATGCTACGATGTAAGGGGACATGAGTCCAATAATCGACGGAACGTGTTTGCTCATAATGAATCTCTCAATTTGTTATCGACTATATCTAAGGAAGTATTATAGTAAGTTATTCTTTGTTATTTCTTGTTTTATCAAAACTCTTTCCAAGGGTCTTCTCTATGTCTACATCCAAGATGACGGCTACTGACTCTGTGGAGTTTGTGGATTGGCCTGCCGTCATCTTGGATTCGCGATGTAGGTGGACCCTGGGCGAGAGTTTGACCCATTTCCAATCAGATGATAGAAGAAGCGTTAATTTGGACATTATAGGATTCGTTTCCAACAAAATGCACCAATTATGTCGCCAAGACTTGGAGGGAGCTCTTCCGCTTTATAACTGCTACTATGATGAGAGGACTGAGGAGAGCAAACACTGGCACGTGAGACTTAAATCTGAGAGACCTTGTGAACTGGGAATCAGTCCAAAGGAACACTGAAATTTTACTAGAGATGATGTTAAGAGGACACCATCCCAAAGTGGACAAAATAAGCAAGATAACTACTACTAATTAATTTGAACTGTCAGTAAACACTACAAATTTGTTGTTCAGTCGGTGGTGACATAGTATCGGTGAAACACAACGTTAGAGATTTTTTTTATTCAAACGTTATAGTATATAAATATTTCTCTTTTTAAATTCAAGTTATATTTAGATGACGTGTAATTTTCACTTTTTCTTCACACGACACCACAAGCTTGTAGCTTAAAATAATATTGTGTATAAATAAATATCATCTATCATCTATCTAGAGATAGACATCCCATTGAGAAAGCGTTGAAAAATCTATTGTTGTCGAAATTGTTCTACTGAAGTAGAGCAGTAAATTCAACCATGTCCACCAGCCGAAATACGTCCACCTTTCAAACTCAATTTGTTTGTTTTTCAGGACTTTTAAAGACGTTCGCCAAAAAATAGATCTATATTTCAAATGTGTATTTTTTCTTTTATCATGTCAATAGGTCACCATTGTGTCTTTGGAGCCCATTTTTTTTGCAGGAAAAATCCGTCCCCAGATGTAACATTCAAACACCTATATATATCATTTCAAAAATGAAAAGGAAAAACGAGCATTTCCTGAGGAACTGAGAACAATTATTTATAAGTTTACAAAAAGGGATCAGTAGCTGTTTATATTTGCTGACAGATTTTTTACTGTCTGAATCACCTCTGAGCTGATCAGGTTCAGAATAATTGTCACATTTGTGAGAAAGAGGGTTAGTCATCGTATAGATAGGAACGACTTTTCCAAATTAAAAAAACTCAAATATAAACTTTTGTAACTGCTACCAATGTTTATAAATCGTTAATGACTATGGTTGCCCAAAGAATTTGCCGATTTATCATAACGTGTTTAGTATCCTTTAAAAGGTGCCACCTGTTGTTTGTCTATTTCCTATTGCATAAAAGGTTAAGTTACGTCTTTACTAGAGCAGTACTTGAATGAGTCGCTAAAAACAGAGCCCGGTTTTAAAGAAGAACCCGACAAAATGAAAACAATCAACAATTAAGTATACCGCGAAAACGTTTACTCGGGCCTTTTCGTGCGCAAACGCTCACTACCTTCGTGATAGCATAGTTCTACTGAGGATGAGGATCAAGATTCACAACTGTGTAGCTGTGTCTTGTTGTGGGTATTGCTCAGTGTCTTGATTTCTTTGTATAACTGGCAAAATGGGAGTAAAATGCATTATCTAAAGTAACGTAGTCGAATTTCTATTTTTCAAAGTTAATAATGATGTTCGTGAATGATTTTGTTTCAAACTTTTTATGTCCAACCCGAGAATTCAAGACATATTTCCGGTCTTTAAGAGTT